TTACAAATAGGTCAAACCTAATTATATGGCCTTAGGATACCATATAGCCCAATAAGGTAAACAGACCTAATCCAATTAATAATTTAATTAAATAAAATCTAATTTAACTTAATTAAATATTTTCATCAAATAAACAAATAATATTATTACTCATAAATAAATATTTCAATGTAATTGAACATTTGACACTCTCGATATACTCTTGGTCGGAAAACTGAATGCATATTGTGTGACCTTATATGGCTTCATTTATTGACATAAATCTAATTTATGTTCCTTAATAAATTTTGAGACTGTGTCAAAGGACGAACTCAAAATATGAAGTACATTTACATAATTAAAGAAAATAAACTTTTAGTGTAGAACTCAATGTATGTCTATCCAAACAACTTAATCATTTTATCTCGATGAAGCTTAGGACTTGAATGTATGTCTATCCAAACAACTTAATCATTTTATCTCGTCTTACTGGTTGATATTAATTAATTATAAACATCATTTCAACAACCCAGTATAGAGAAAACGAGTGCCCTCTCAAAACTATATTGGACGAATAAATCCTATCTTGGCTCAACTATCAATTCCACGTATATCGTGGTCAACCAAACACAAGCCTCGTATCTACAACGTAAGAGTTGGACTAAGTCTAAGTAAATTACTCTATACGTGAATTGTGTATTGACCTCAAGTCGAAGGATTATTACACCATTCAACACACCGATAAACAATGGTTTATCGGTAGGGTACCAATACTCTTCAAAGTATCCATGTGTCCATCACGAATAAAAATTATTCATAGTAGTGAGACATACTATATTCTTAAAAAAATATGATGCATACCACATGTTAATCTATCACGTATCATTAATATTCATTTCTTAATGATCATCGATTGAGGCAATTTGAGAGTTATATTTTATCACTTAACATCTCACTCTGTTAATGACAATATTAACTCAAGAAAACAATTAATTAATTAATTGCAAATAATTAAAAAATTATTTAATTAATTGCAATATCATAATTATAATTAAATATAATGTTAATGTGATCATGTGTATATGTCCTCAAAAAGATTGTATCTAGGACACATTTACCACACCAAGATCACCTAATTTAAAATTTAACTCAACTAAATTCTACTTGAATGTGTGTCTATCCAAACGGTGCATTCATTCATGAACCACTCGATGAAGCTTAGGACTTGAATGTGTGTCTATCCAAACAACTTATCATTTTATCTCGTCTTACTGGTTGATTTTAATTATTATATTTGAACTGTTCATTTCAAATATAATAACGTGCATTGGCTAACGACTTCAACACCCAGTATAGGGAAAACGAGTGCTCTCTCGAAACTATATTTGACAAAAAAATCCTATCTTGGCTCAACTACCAATTTCATGAATATCATGATCAACCAAACACAAGCCTTGTATCTACCCCATAAGTAGCGTAAGAGTTGGACTAGGTTTAAGTAAATCACTCTGTACATGAATGTGTATTGACCTCAAGTCGAAAGACTATTACACCATTCCACACACCGATACTCCCCATAGACACATAAACAAATGGTTCATCGGTAGGGTGCATATGTACCTTCTAGCAAACATTAGGAGTGTGTTTTGATAACATCTAATGGTTTTGATAAAATGTTAGTGGTAAAAAACACCCCTAACAACATCTAATGGTTTTGATAAAACATTAGGACGTTATGGTCATTTAACAACATCTAATGGTTGTGATAAAATGTTACTGGATCCATCTAATGGTTTTGATAAAACATTAGGACGTTATGGTCATTTAACAACATCTAATGGCAAACATTAGGACGTTATGGTCATTTAACAACATCTAATGGTTTTGATAAAATGTTACTGGATCCATCATCCATGTTTGTTGAAAGCGTAGCCCATCCAACTAAACCTTCTTGACCTTGCCTTGGGCTTAATTCTATCTTTTAAATTAGTTGAATTAGGGCTTGGGCTTGTACAATCGTAATAGAGAAAATTGCACACTTGAGGAGACATATCAGTTTTATTTACATAAAGGAAACCACATTGCAAATATTTGCAAATATATCAGATTTTAGCTTTATAATTGCAAAATTACCGGATATAAAAAATTGATTAAGGGTGACTTATCACCTTGCAATCGTAATGAGATTTATTATCACACAATCACACAAGATTTATTATTAGACAATCTCTCTCTCTCTCTCTCTCTCTCTCTCTCTTTCTTCTTCTTCTATAATTCTACGCATAATCTTCTTATTCTTCTCTTCGATTATTATTGAAGGTCGGCCTTAATTAATCGATCAATTGTCATTCATCTCTCTCTCTACATCTGCAGAGGCTCGCGCGAGAAAGAAAGAAAAAGCTTCAGATTCAATCTCTTCAGGCATCAATTCGATACCAAGATGTCGTCAATCTTCAGCGGTGATGAAACGACACCTTGTTTTGGACTTTTTTGGCTTCCTCGGCGTCGCCGCCTCCCTCGTTTTCTCCTGTAAACCACGCTTGATCTAATCCATCTCTCTTCATCTTCTTATTCAATAATTCATCACTGACACTTCTCGAGCCGTCGACTGGGTCTGCCCGATTGATGATTTGCACGTGCTGGCCCGAGATTTCGGGCTCGGGGCCCGTGGAAAATCCAATCCGATGAGGTCCATGGCCGTTAATTAATTATGTTCGGGGACATGTGGAGGGATAAGTTTTGAGAATTTTGTCGTTTGATTTATTTTGTTGTGGAATATGTTGCGTTTATTTTGCTTCGAGACATGTTGTTATTTTCAGTATATGTTTTGTATATATTCAGTATACATATATAAACCCAATGGTATTTGTTTGGTATACATATGTTCGGTATATGTTTGCTCGGATATTGTGTTACTATTGTGTTACTTTTTGTATATGTTTTGTATATGTTCAATATATATGTTTGTTATACTATATAAACCCCAGAATATATATATATATATATATATATATATATAAATTTATACAACAGAACAAAAAATACCCAGAAAATATACTAGATATATACATAAACATGTATCAGAAAATATATACAACAAAATAGAAAATACCTAGAAAATATACTAGTATACACGAAAATATCATTCTTCAGAACGACATGTACAATGAATTTTCCGTGTTAATTTGAGTTTGGTGAATTTCAAAATTCAAATTACTGATTTTTTTCTACAAGACTATCCTATTTATTAAGAAATATATAATTACCATGTCAGTTTCAATTACCTTTGTGAAAAAAGGTCAGGTATAGTAGTTGCATGATTTTAGGAGATACGATATTGTTAGCTGATGTAGGGATGCAAATATTTTCACGCGATTATATAGGGTTGCAATACAAGATCACACCATGGTATTTTTATAAATATTTTTATTTCATTAAGATTTCGCCTTATATTAGTGGTTTCCCAAATGTTAATCATCTAATTAAACAAGGGAAATGGGTCAAAAACACCCCCAATGTTTGTTGTAAGGTACATATATGTCCATGAAGTTTCTTTAGGTGCAAATATATCATTAAAGTTTGCTACTATTAATGTTATATCCTCAATGTTTGTTATAAGGTACATATATTTCCATGAAGTTTCTTTAGGTGCAAATATATCATTAAAGTTTGCTATTGCCACCCATATGGGCTTTATACATTTTGTTCAATTACGCCCCTCAATTCATTGTTTCATGGCGATAAAAAATACTTGCATGGCAACATCTCTCGGGACTTCATCAACATTGTAAGCAATTTTCTCTAAATAAATAATATGTTTTCAGTTTATATTTTTAATGTCCTTTTAAATTATTTGTTGAGTATTTTATTGTTATAACAATCTAAAATCTAAGTGAAATTCTTTTTTTTTTTTTAAATTTTGTCCCCTTAACATGCCGATGGAGATTTGAATATATCAAATTTTAGGTTTTGTTAAGAGTTCTATTTTATATATGGTCTGCAATATATTGATTTTCTCCTATAATTGAAATAAAGCGAGAAATATATCTATCATGTATAATTTAAAAAGTAATATTCACATACGTATATGAATTATTCTGGAAGCACAATAGAAAATTAAATTTGCATGCATTTTAACATATTTTGAAAGCACAAGTTTCACCTCTAACAGTTAAATTTGCATGCGTTGAGTAATTTTAGTTAAGAAAAATATATTGAAATCAAACAATCCTATTTTATTAGCCTACGTATAATCTTAAAATAATATAAGTTTTGTATTGGCAATTATTTTTCCTTTTGACAAACAATCTCATTTGACAAAACAATTCCAAACGTATTTTGCCTTTTTGCGTTTTTATGATTTTTCATAATTTACTTTTTTTTTGCAGATATAAAATTGTCCAAAGAATTATTAGCAAGTGTTTACGTCATATTAAATGTATTTTTGATCATAAGTTAATGAGGAGTTAATGAAGCTCTTTTCCCTATTAGGAAGAATGTAAACATCATTATTGGTTGAACTTTAATGGTAAAATTGTATCTGAAGAAACTTCATGGACACATATGTACCTTGTAGCAAACATTAGGAGTGTGTTTAATTAGATGATTAGCATTTGGGAAACCACTAATATAAGTAGGACCAAAACCAAATACTTGTACAAGCCCAAGCCCTAATTCAACTAATTTAAAAGATAGAATTAAGCCCAATGCAAGGTCAAGAAGGTTTAATTGGATGGGCTACGCAACTTTGGGCTTTCATCAAACACGGATGATGGATCCAGTAACATTTTATCAAACCCATTACATGTTGTTAAATGACCATAACGTCCTTGCTTTGCAGAACTATTTTCTTTTTTCCCATCCATTTTCATCACACGGCAGCACAAGCAAGCACAACCAGATTGTTCTTTCTTTGTAAGCACACAAACACGGCAAAAATCACAACATTCAAACCGACTCGCTCATAAATCGTCTCAATCAGCCACCGCCATCGCCGTTTTCTCCGATCAACAGGCCGTAATATGTGTAAATTATCCGTCAGACTGATCTTCAACAGCTTGGGTAGCCATTTTTTTTTTTTTTTTCAGAATTCACGAATATTGGGTACGCAATCGAGCTTCTTGTCTGTTTTATCTGATTCCGTGATATTTGCAGATTTGAGCAGGAGATTGAGGCTTTTGAAGAAAGAGGGTCTGTTCCAGAGGTGCTCGTACAGTATTCTGAATCGCTTCCAGAGGTCGACCGCCGGCGGCGATGGACTGAGGAGCAGCAAATGCGAGGTTAAGTTGGAAAGTAATGTCGCGAACAGTCATATCTCGTCGGAGGATGAATTGGCCGGTTATGGCGATCGGTGGAAGCCTGAAATTGCTTGGCTGGGTAAAGCTCTCGAACCGGCTTTGCAGCTGTACAAATGGGCTCTTCCAACAGGTTTGGTTATTTCTCCATTTTCAGGCGTTTTTTTTTTTCTTTTTTTTTTTTTCGGTATTGGGGATTCGAGATTGGAATTTTTGCTTGCTTAAATTATTTTTGAGTTGGGTTTTGTGATTTGCTGAGTTATAAGGTGGAGCTTTTGCCTTTTTTACTCATTGTTCTATTTATATTTTTGCTCCCTTGTGTGCATTGGGGGATTGTAAAAGATTACGGAGAAAGTGAATAATTTGAAATGTGATTTGGTGTAAGATAAAGATATGATGATTATGTTTAATTTGATGTAAAAATGATAAAGTAATTGTTTGTTTTCCAACATGTACCATAAATTATAAGAAAAATTGTCATAATGGCCGAGTTTTATTAAAAATCGAGGTGGAGAAAAGTGAGATAACCGAATATAATACAATTTAAGAAAATTTTCTCTAGTTGATTTTTTTTTTTAAATTTAATCCAATGGCACCTACGAGTTTGATTAGGTGCTTTAATGAATTGTGAAAAGTTCATACAGATAAATGAATCAAGCATTCGCTGTATTTAACTTAAAGATTGAGCTTAAGACAGTTCGTTTTAAGTGTATTGTAACTTACAGATTTTGATTCGGAGCTGCATTTTGAACTTCCTTGTGTGATTGTATAGACTATAGAGAATTTCTAATCTTGTTGAGGGAGGTTGAACCTTTTAGAAATTTGAACATGCGAAATGGAAACTATGAAGACATTGTTATGAACGGAAAAGTGATAATAATATACACGACTCCCGGCTTATTTTTTGTTTCCCTATTCCTACCCGACCCGATTTTTCTTAAAAAGTGTTTGTTTTATAGGTCGTGGGATTGAACTTAAGCCACCACCCACTGATAGGTCCCTTTCCGATATTTTTGCAAGCATACAAAGGAGTAAGCTTGGAATTCAGGATTGGAGTCTCAGTGATCTTACTATTGGCTTGTACCTCCTGTATCTTAGGCAAGCATCCACAACTTCTGTTGAAGATGTGAAGGGCGAAATTGTCTCATCGGAACTCATGGTAATAAGCTAAATCATTTAACTCGGTAAAATGAATTTTCTTAGAAGGAAGCGAATGTTTATGAACACTAAAATAGTAGGTTTTTTTCCTTATATATTTATATATATATATATATATATTTTTAAATTAGGTGTTTGCAAATTCCAAATTGTACTTCATTTTAACAAAATTAAAAAGCATGGATTGGTGCTTTAGATTCTGATTTTTTCTTAGTTTTGAATATTTAACACTGGTAAAGAGTCTCTCAAACTTCTCAGCCAACACTCTTTCATAAGCTGATCGATTGTTTTTACTCTTTTGCTAAACCCACCGACTTTTGATTCTCACCACTTGAGTCTTAGCTGTAATTAATCGATTGATTTCTTGCTAACACTCTCGAAACTTGATCGAAGTTGCTTCTTTTATAACTTGACAGGGGAATTATTCTAGCACTGATGTTGGTGATTTTAGGTTCAGGATTTCATATACCACACGGAACTAGCAAAGGGTGCTTACAAAGATAATGCAGCTGGCCTGGCAAGGAATAGCATGATCAGAGAAAAAAATGTAATCAAGTTTGTTAAGAACTCCAGCGTGCTGAGACCTGGGTATTATATAGGAATCGACACGCGGAAAAAACTCGTCATTCTTGGTATACGTGGGACCCACACAGTCTATGACCTCATCACTGACATCATATCTTCTGGTCATGAGGATATTACGACCGAAGGTTATTCGACACACTTTGGCACAGCTGAGGCGGCTCGTTGGTTTCTTAATCATGAGATGGATACTATCAGAAAGTGCTTAGATAAACACAAGGTGGCGTGATATCGTTTTTATTATTATTTTTATTTTCTTTCTTGTTTTTGTGTGTGTGATAGTGTGTTTGTGTACGCTGTGTAAAAGAGTGACATTGCCACTATTTGGGCAAAAATGCAATTTTAGTCCAGTTGCTTTAACGCCATAGCAATTTTAGTCTCTAGTTTCCAACTTTTCGCTTTTTAGTCCTGTGATTTAATATTTCAACAAAATTGTAAATTATAGGACTTAAATTGCTAATATAAAATATTGGAATTTCAGAATTTGTTGTAATTTCACTCCTTCGAGGACTGAAATTGCAGCAAAATATTAAATTATAGAACCAAAAGTCGAAATGTTGGAACGTCGAGACTAAAATTGCTATGGCGTTGAGCCAAAAGGACTGAAAATGCAATTTTGCCCCACTATTTGAGTGACTAATCAGTCAACAGGGTTTTAGATTGAGGCTCGTTGGTCATTCACTCGGAGGTGCAACTGCTTCATTGCTTGCAATTAAACTTAGGAAAAAGTCAATGAAGGAGCTTGGGTTCAGTCCTGATATAATCTCAGCCGTTGGATATGCCACCCCACCTTGTGTCTCCAAAGAATTAGCTGAAAGTTGCTCCGATTTTGTGACTACGATTGTCATGCAGGTCCGATTCTATCAGTTCTTTTACTGTGTAGATTATTTTTTTGTTGTCATATTTTGTCCTTTTGTCACTTGTAGTTATTTTGTTTCATGCAGGATGATATTGTCCCGAGATTGAGTGTTTCTTCTTTGACAAGATTGAGGAATGAAATTGTTGAAACTGATTGGTGAGCCTTTTTAAGCAAGCACCGGCTTTTTAGATGCTTCAATATTCTTAATTTTGAGATATGAGCAAAAATTGAATTTCGTCTTGCTTAAGGGTACAATATAGTTGTGTACCCACGAATAATTTCTTAGTGGAGCCATATCTCCCTTATATATAATTTCAGAACACGCTGTGCCTATTTCGCACGCTTCGTAATCTTATATGGCAAAATATTATGTTTTGTAATGTGACTCCGATAAAAATTACTAATTTTTTATACCAAATAGTTTAGGTTTAGATTGCCAAAAATATACACATAAAATATATATAAACTATTTCATATAAATCTATTTATTATCTTTTTTCTATGATGTTCATATTATCTTATTTTTCAAATTTTGTGCTTTGTCCATATTATTCTCTTATGTGTTTTAAATAAATATATTATAAATAAAACTAATAATGTATATAAATTAGTTTTCAGAATTTAAAATAACATTGTTAATTTACTTAATTCTTTATTATAAAATGTTATATATTGTTCCTTATTTATTTTTTCAGCAAAATATATAAACGTTTTTTCTTTCATTTGTCGTTATACATTAAATATTTTATTACTACATGGTATTGTACTAGTGTGGATAAAAGGCTATTGTAGTTGTGAAGTTTGTTTTTCCCATTGCTCCTTTTTCCTGACAAGAGCTGCAAATGTTTGTTTTGCTAATTAGGTTATTAGGTATGTCATATGTATGAGATTTTTAATGATACAATCTGCAAATTCAAACATTTTCAAGATTTTAATGATACAAAAACTATTCTTAATGTTCACATAGCTCTCTTATACCTAAAATTTTGAATCGCCCAACTTTTGCTTGACCTTTATATGTTAGATAAAATCATTTTCCCCTCCACATATGATTATTGTCGATATCATGACATCTTTATTCCGGGTTTTGGTCATTAATTACAGAGATGAATGACCATTTGTGTGCTTTTGGCAGGGAAAGTGTTTTCAGTAAAGAAGATTGGAAAGGTGTAATTGATCTGGTTACTAATGCAAAGCAAGTTGTGACCTCTGTGCAAGATGTAGCTCGTAAATTTGCCGAGTATGCTAAATTCAGAGGGCAGTCAAAATATTCTGGTGCGTTTTTATCTTCTTATTGCCAGCTTTTTTTCTCCAGCAGCTCACCAAAACATATGTCGATTGGATATTTGTAAATTTTGAAAGATAACTAGGATAAAACTCAAGTGTGTTTGTGAAATCTATAGTGCGATTTGGAAATGAGTTTGTTAACAGCTATTAATTTTACAGAGACGCCCACGAAGAAGAGGGAAATCCCAATTGCCACTAGTTCTAATAAGTACTCAGATAAACCTGGTCTTGAAAAACGAGCAGCCAGCAAAGCAACTGAGGATTTGTTTGTGCCCGGGATTGTTTATTACTTAAAACGGAATGTGGATTCTGAAGGCAATCGCAAACGAATTGAATACTTCACGCTGTTGAGAAGAAACCCAGGTGAGCATTTTCAAAGGATACTGCTTTCTAGCAACTTAATTTCAGACCACAAATGCGATAGCCATTATTATGCTCTGAGGGATGTACTTAAAGGTTTGCCGAGTTCTTTGGATGATAGAACAATCAGTCAATAGCCGAATTGTTTTTT